TCATTAGTGCTGATGGCCTGTTGACTGGCGAAATCTCGGCATGGACACAGAAAGCTCGATTGGCTTTTGCCAACTTGCGTCATTTATGGCGTAAGCGAGACATCCGTTCGTTAACCGAAGGACGGGTTTGCTGTGCAGCACTTTTATTCGTCCTAATACACAAGTGTGAAAGATGGTCACCAAAAACAGTGGATATTCGTAGACTACTCGTATTCGACCATAGATTTCCTCGAAACATCACTCGTGTATCCTGGGACAATTAAGTGTGTTTTGATTGGGTTGGAGAAGTCTACTAGGTAAGGATGGCAAATCAGTTGAGGCGTTTGTGATTTGTGTTTCGAATGCCCAATCACCGACTGCCTCAGAAAGCGATGATGCCTGGTGTAGGGGTAAGCTGCAAGAAAACTAGGGGCGGCCAAACCAAAACAAGTTACAGATCCATGAAGCCATTGAAAGCTGGTGTAAACTGTGTAATTGGAGTCCGCCAGACAATTGTAACTGATTGTTAGAGACTTTGAATGACATGGCTCAAAGTCGTTTGCAATGGTGCGGATGCATCCATGGTTTGTCTTCTCTCAAAATTTAATCTTATGAACTCCCCATCACCTTTATCTTTCTCTTGTTAAGTTTATTTTACTGTGATATATTTCCTGAATCATATCTTTGATCTCTAAACTTTTCGACTACTGCTGATACTGCTACAACCTCTACTACTGTGGGATTTGCATTGACAATTCCATTTGTCTGTGCTAATGAGGTATGCAACTTGAATCCATGTATGTACGTACCAGGTCCTAGTTTCAGCCTGCTGAGTAAGTAAATAAATACAAAAATCCAATCATTCAACTTTTGTATTCCTGCTCATTAGGAAGTTTGAGAAATAACTTTTTGGGGATCGTAAATAAATTGTCAAACAATAAAGCTGCTTTTATCGGCTATTAATATACCACAAAGCAAGCATTATGTTGAAAACGCCTGTCGAAGAGCAAAAGTTGTAAAGCAGGTTTTAATGCCTGAAAAGTGACTAGAGGAAGAAGAATAAATTTACTAAAACCAAACCCTTGTGTTTGTTTAACTGGACGGTATCAATTCAATATTTGATTCTGAAGATGAAAAGAATCCAGGTTCCATATTTTTAGTCCTATTATTTAGTTATATATATATTACTCTTCATAACTGTGTATTGCTTTAATATTGAAGTCATTGTTTATTTTAGAATGAACTATGTGTATCTTCAGGTACAACAGTATACGTTCATCGTCGATATCCAAGCCTACTGATTCAAACATTTCGTGTCTACAATCCTATGGTTAGTTTTTTTGTTTTATAATACATTATTGTTTTAATAGCCTGATTACATATTGGTCTAATAAGGAGCGTGGCGAGAAAGTTCTGTTTACGTTTTTTTAACCCCCTCTCGTTCAGGGCTGGGACAAGTATTTCACGTACTAAATTATCACACCTCAAAATGTCATGATTCCTGAAGTGGAACTATGCAGGAAAGGGTTCACGGATATTCGTATCTCGATAGTATCAATCCGTGAAGTCTTTGACTTGAGTTTTGAAGAAGTACGTAAGCTTCTTAGGTTGTTTTCATCAGGCAGTTAAACTAAGTGTTTGTAGACTAGGTGGTATTGCTCAAAACCAATACCTTTTTCAGATACCTCCATCATATCCTGCTGCGAGTCCTAAATATTTTACAATCTTTTAACTTTCATCCCATTGTTGCACTACTGTTTCATTTTAATTTTTCTCACTCTTACTGATTTCTCAATAGTGTTTAGATGTGCTGTTTAGCATTTTGAAAAAGCATATGGTCGTGTTCAGTCTTATGTTGTTTATGTCTTTACTCCTATATACTTCGTTAAGACGTTTTCTCGATGTTTTCGTACTTTGATATTTTAGCAACCGCACAACTAATGTCACTGATCCCATAATAAGATATAGGTTGTTGCATACTTGTAGGATTAGTTAGATATGGTAGGTTTTTGATTTTTCTTAAAAACAATGGATCATATCTTCATGTAAGGAATCTTTTATGAAATGAAGATGAAGCTTTATTTGTGAGCTCCATGCTTTTAATTTAGATTTCCTAGAGTAATCTCTCCCCCCAAAAAACTGTAGAGTGAATATCGCTTCTGCTAAGTGTCTACCAGTATCACTTCAATTTCCTACAATTCCCAATACGAAAGGAAACCTTTCCTTCACTTATCGGGCTTGGAGAAATAATTCAGCAATTTTTTGAAGTCTTTTGATGTAGAAGCTTACGAAAGGGTTTGAAGAACACTATCTTACGAGGCTGTAAAGAAGTGGTAGTTTATGCAAAAAAAATGTTACTGCTTTAATGTTTGGTTTTAAATTTATCTAACAGTATAAGTTAATCTTGTTTCTTATTTCAATGAACACACTAGCTAAAAAAAAGTCTATCTAGTTCTCCGACTGTAATATTGATGCACATGTACATATTTCTCATATGGTCTACCAAAATTTTTCTGAAGAGTATGTCTTTAGCCATAAAATGATAAGTGCACAAGTATCAGGTAACCAGAATTTCGATTAGTGATGATCAGCTGTCTTTTTTAAATACTACCAAAAAAAAATATTTAAATTATGAGGCAAAGGTAGTAAATAGTTTTTATTTTCTTATTGTTGTAAGTCAGCTATCATCTAAAATGCAGTTAATAATAATCTCATCTATATAAGCCCCTAAGGCAGGAGGTTTATTTATTGTAGATAAACCGAGCAACACAAAGCATTGTCTGTCACTTTACCGCTGCACACGAAGGTAAAATAATCAAAAATGATATGTCTTCAGACTAGACACGAAAGTTTAATATCCCGAAGAGTTATTTATTTTTGCATGTTGGTGATTTTTCAGACTTTCCTTAGTGTAACAATAGTTACTTGATCAAAGGTTGGAATGAAAGTGTTATTCTCAAAAAATTAAGATGAATCTAATGTCTTCAGTGTTTCTAACTTAGTTCTGAATATTCGTCATACTGACCTATAGTTTTTGTTAATGTAATATTGCTTTTAAAATTCGTATTTCTAATGTGAAATGGTTACGTTCTACGTAACCATAGCATGACTGATTATTCAATTGTGTGTTATTTGTTTGTTACTAATTAAGAATATTTTTATATGTTCATTTTAGGATTGGGATAACACAGTCAAAATTGGTAAAGGTAACCTAAGAAACTGGACAGAACTTGCTTCGTTACGTTTTATTCGGTGAGTATTGGTTATTTGTGACTCATGTTTCTACCATTCACTTCATTTATCAAATGTAAATGGGGTGCATAAAATATTTTGTATTTATATAACGTCGTCAGTAAATTTATCAAACTATGACTAATAGTAGATTTATCATGTTCAGTTTTATAAGTATAATCATGTATTCATTACTCAACCTTTGAAAAATTGTCACGTTCTATTTCAGTATATAATTAATTTTCGCGTAAATTTTATCTACACCGAAAAGTTTCTATTATGTCATTATGCCTATATAATAATAATGTTAATAATTGATGATATAGTTCTATATAGTGAAGACGCTGACAAAACGCAGAGTCTTTTGACCATCTTAAGAAACAATCCTAGCATGTTCGCGAAGCTATTCACGATTTGCTGCCGTCAGCTCCTGAACTAGTCATAGGGAATGAAGTAGTCGAGTGTGTCGACCACTTCATTTCTATGCAACAGTTGAAAATCGATGGATCAGTTGAGGTGTTTGTGATTTGTGTTTCGAATGCCCAATCACCGACTGCCTCAGAAAGCGATGATGCCTGGTGTAGGGGTAAGCTGCAAGAAAACTAGGGGCGGCCAAACCAAAACAAGTTACAGATCCATGAAGCCATTGAAAGCTGGTGTAAACTGTGTAATTGGAGTCCGCCAGACAATTGTAACTGATTGTTAGAGACTTTGAATGACATGGCTCAAAGTCGTTTGCAATGGTGCGGATGCATCCATGGTTTGTCTTCTCTCAAAATTTAATCTTATGAACTCCCCATCACCTTTATCTTTCTCTTGTTAAGTTTATTTTACTGTGATATATTTCCTGAATCATATCTTTGATCTCTAAACTTTTCGACTACTGCTGATACTGCTACAACCTCTACTACTGTGGGATTTGCATTGACAATTCCATTTGTCTGTGCTAATGAGGTATGCAACTTGAATCCATGTATGTACGTACCAGGTTCTAGTTTCAGCTGACTGACTGAACACAATGAAGGATTCCTATCTCAAAATATTTCGACAAGCTTCTCTTATTCTTTATTGTATGTATTTATGTACATGTGTATACTTAGTGGCGGTAGTTGCAAAATGGTATTTAGTCAGCGTTGAATCCCGTGCTCTATATCCGCTTCACCTCTTATTGTAGTAGCTAAATACCATGCTTTGTTCACGGGCAAATAGAGTGACTGAAAGCATGTTTTTTCACCGCTAAATTTCATTATGAGTAATTCAAATGAGTACTACAATAAATGATCAGTGCGTTGTAGAAACTAATAGACAAACAATTTTTTTACTGTTTTATTGAATTCAAATGGACAACAGTAGTTTTACTTGTTGTATGTAATGTTCATCAATTACGTCTCCTAATCAGTATTATTTTTTTTCATACAATTCAACTATAGGAAACCCTTCTGCTTCCGCAAAACAGGTTTTTACGTCAAGTGCATTTCAAATTCATAATTAAATCGGTGTTATATGTTAATTATTTACTGTTTGTTTATTGTAAACCACTTACTAATTCCAAAAATTATACATTGATTCTCTAGACTGTATTTAACTTATAATTACTCATTATTATATGTTAAGATCGGAGTAATTAGTCTTAATTTGATAGGGATGCGGAAAACATTTCCAATGTCGATACTACCCGTGTTAAAGTACTCTTTACAAAACTTTTATTTCATGTGAATGCTTTAACTGAGCATCTGGGTACCTAGTAACGATCTTGTTTTCTACTTTTTCTTTGTTCATTGATTTTACAGACTTCAACAAAAAAGTGAGCTGAAAAATCACGCTTCAGAAGAAGTAACTTATCAGGTTGCCTGTGGATTGATACGATTACCGTTACCAGAAAACTTTAAAATAAATAATAATTCTGTTGTAGCACAAGTAATATTGGTTGTTGTACTTGAACCAGTATTTCCGGAAAACCTTACTGTTCTGTCTGGATCGTAAGTTATTTAACTTTTCACTACCATTAAAGTTCGTTGAAGAATTCTCATTTATAATTAATTAAAAAATTTAGTAAACTCAAAGGTTTTTAAATCATATCTTCTGAACAAAATATTCCTAAAAGAGACAACATTATTTCTTCTTTCGATCGAACCAGCTCATAAACATATTTGCATATCTTTGATTTGGGTTTCAGTCGGAACTTTTACGAACCAGCTCAAATCATACTCTTGTCTAACATTTCCTTCTTTCATAAAAAAGATGATAATTAGTGTTTTCAATGATTTAGAATGTAACTTCAGCCTTTGTTAAGTTTGCGTTTGGGGGAGTTTGAGGAGCAACGTGTGAGGTAATCTGAAGGAGGAAATAACAGAAGAAAAGGTGAGCCGAAAAGTCAGTGAGCACATAAAATTCATTTAATGGACAAAGCGATCAAAAACAATCAGAAATTACAAAAAATGTGATCAAAACAAACTGATCAGTCAGTCAACGTAGAACGTCGTACATACGTACATCAGTTCAAGTTTCCATACCACATCAGTACATAGAGAACAAAATGTCAATTCAAATCCCATAGTAGTAGACGTAGTAGAAGTATTAGCGGTTATCAAAAAGATTAAAATTCAAAGATATCATTCGAGAAGTATATCCCAGAAGAATCAAATGAAAAAAGAAAAAAAGACAGTCATGAGGAGTTCAGAAGACTATGATTTGAGAGGTGACTTGTCATTCAAAGTCTCTAGCCATTGGTTACTATTTCGCGGACCCCAACCAAATAGTTTACATCCACTAACATGGTTCAATGCTGTTGTCAGGGACTTCATTTATTTGTGCTATGTTTTGGTTTGGTCGCCTCTAGAAGACAATCTAATAATCGAAACTTCAAGTTGGTTTAGCAAGGTTTTGAATGCGTTGCCGTATAGTAATAAAATTAACCTGTATAATAAACTGACTTCCATCAGCTATGATGCTGAGTGGATTACTACATTTCTAGAAAATGATTTCATGCACAAAATACGGTTCCTTAAGTAATAGGAATCGCTATGACTGATTCGAAATCAAAATCATTAACTATATTTGTAACCGGATAATTTCAACCCACCTGGTTAATATCCATCGGAAATAACCCAATATCATCACATCAAAGTACAGCTGATAGTACGATTTCACACTCGCACTTTAAGTTTGCTAGTCTTTGTTTTTTTTCACTACCCCACGAACTTGCTTAACACGATTGTTTCGCTGCTATGTAGATAAGGCCGATTAGTGCTTCAAGATAGCGTTTGGTGCCAAGATACATCATTAACATAAGGATTATCATTATTATAGGTTTCGTTATATTATTAACGAAGTCTGTCATCCTAGAATGATGCTTCTAGCTATGGTAAAAAGTCAGAGAGCAACTTCTTTATCTCATAGTTATGAAATCAAACATCATTAACCACCGAACAACTTACAAAACCGAATGATGGCATCAAGCGACCTTCTCTCTATGTACTCCATTCAACAACTAACGGTTTATGTATTCAACTCTGAACCACACTTTTTGTTTGATAGTTATTGATGCAGTCTGTTGAAGAGATATCCCAGCCACAAACCTTTAGAGTTAAACACTTTAAACACTAAACCACCTGTATCAAGGGCTTATAAGTTTGCTAATTACATTTTCA